GTCCGGTGCGGGGGCAACACTGAGGGTTGCGATCCGTTGCCGGACACGGAAAAAGACAAAAGACAAAAAAAAAAAAAAAAGAATTTACTGTTGAATGATAGAATGTTCAGAGAGCTAAGAACTTCATCTGTACATTACAACACTTACAATAATCTGTTTGGTTATTTGACTACTTTCCCTTCTTTCTAAGGGAGCAGGGAATCTATCTTTTTCATATTTATAGTTTCTGCTACATTATAGGTAATAAATAAACGTTAATTTAAAGTGAATAAAACATAAATATGACTGTATTGTCCTTAAAGAGCTTTCAATCTACTAAAGGTGAGAAAAGACACAAGAAAAGCAGATCGTAAGTCCGTAAATTATGAGCAAAGTTGGGTGGGAATTCATTCACGCATTTATTCATTTGATAACTGTTCATTATGCACCTGCTAGGCACTGGGCCTATGACTGTTACCGAGAGAGACAGTCTGGTTTTTACATGGCTTGTGATACACTCAAGTAACAGCCATCTTGATGGCATTCTTTACAGTTGACTATGGACATTCTAATCCATGTTATGATCTGTTCCTTGCAACAACCCTGAGAGGAGGCAGGGCAGGTTTGATTACCCTCCATTTACAGATGAAGGTGCTGAGGGTCCCAGGGTTCAAGCCAGTTGCCCAAGGACACAGGCAAACACAGTGGTAGAGCCAGAATCCAAATCGTAGTTGGTCTGGCTCCACGTGCAGTTCTCGGTTCACTAATTTTTTTACTGTTTCTCCATTCTGGGCTCTGACCTGGTGACCTTGAATCATAAGGATTCGGGGCCAGTCTTGAGCTCCCGAAAGACTCTCAACATAGAAGGCATCTCTTCTCTAAAGAGAGTGTGCGTACCCTGCCAAGAGGCACAGGGGAGGAGTAAACTTTTCGAACTTCAATTTCAGAGCCTCCCTGTGGCTTTCAGATCTCCCACGGTCTCTTGTGTTGATGATGATGAGGGACAATGCCATGGGGCCACTTTAACCCCAGAACACTGGAGGCTGGCTGGACGTACGGGACATGAGGGAAGTCTGCCATGAGACAGGGTGGCCGGCTGCTTTCAGTTGAAAACCAGAAAGAAATCCCAGTCTCATTGCTTTATTTTGGTTAAAAAATCAAGTGATGTGACAATGGAAACTCTTTCCAGGTTGTCCTCTCCTCTGCCCATGTTGACAGAAGACGGACTTGCTAATTCTGGCTGGGGTTTTCCCTGCCTGGGCTGTTTTTCTTTTACCTTCAATTGAAGAGAGCTGCTCTGCCTTTCAAACTGTCGGAAGGTATCTGGGGTTTTGTGTATTTTTTTTATTCTCTCACATAATTCTGTGGGTCTTTTCTCAAATGTGTTTTTTTTCTCTCAGATTAACTTCTTCTAACTTGAAGTTTCCGCCCATGTGACTTCCAGCGCGAGTTACCAGAAACCACAAGAGAGCGCGCACAAGCCCCAAAAAGAGCGACATGTCTCTGTGGGGAGCAGTCCCTCTGCACCCCAGAACCAGGAGGACTCAGGGGTCGGAGGTGGCTGCAGAGCAGGCAGAGGAAGCACCCGTGGAGGGTGGTGGACTGGTGGCCCAGGCACAGTCAGGAAGGGAGGCCAGCTGGTGACAAGAGCGCCCCGGGGGTGGCGTCTGGGGCTGCGTGTGCCAGCCCGGAAGATTTCAGCCATGCCTCACAGCTCCGACAGCAGTGACTCCAGCTTCAGCCGCTCTCCACCCCCTGGCAAACAGGTAGAGTCCTCCTTTCCCTCTGTCCTACCTTCTGATCCTCCTGGGGGGCGGGAAGAGGAACGGGCTTCTTGGTCCTGACCAGGCAGCTGAGGAGCGAGGAAGTGGCTTGTGGCATGAGCACTCTATTACCCTTGGGACAGGGCATTTGCAGTCGAGCTGTGCATGTTGTGGACACCCTCATCCTTCCGTGTATTCTGCCAATGACCCTTTATCTCTCCATTCCCCGATGGTGCCCACTGCCTCTGCCTCACTGGGTTTCCCACCCCATGAAGCTCTCTAGGAAGCAAAGAGGAGGATGAACATCAAAGAACTCAGAGGAAAGGGCCTCCAAGGCAGTAGAAAAGTGAGAGGAGGAGCTTTCAAGTGGGCTGCTGGCATGCACATCCCAAATCCTAAACAAGTAGTTTCCAGGAGAGAACCAACAGGGTAAGAGACAGGAGAGGTTGGGAAAAGTAAAAAAAAAAAAAAAAAAAAAACAAGTTAGAAAATTAGGAAAAGGAGCCCTCCCAGGCTAGCACAGAAGGATCTGCCTCTGTCGCTAGCACAGCTAGTGGGGAGGGATGCTGGAGCTGCAGCCAATACCTGTTTCCCCTGTGGCTTCTGGACAGGAGGCAGGAAATAAATGAGGAGGTGGTTCTGGAAACTTGCTGGAGACATTTGCTAGTAGCTCATCTCAGCTCTGGGGAAACCAGGGAGATTGAGGTAGGGATTCTGGGAGTGCTTGGAGTCTAGACTGTGACTTCCAAGTCAAACGTGTTCAGCTTAAGGGTTGCCAAAACGGGGCACCTGTCCACCTCGCAGCTTCTAGAGCTTTCTCTTCACCACACTCTTGACGTCCCTTGCTATAGGAAGTCCTCCTTTTTCTCATCCAGCACATGTCAGTAGATTAAAATCTTCTCCACTTTTGTGGTTTAAAAGCTGCATTCTTTCCTTAGGAGAGCTTTCAAAATGTTGCAGCCAAAATAAAAGTACGTAAACATCTACATAGCATCTATCATAAACATCTAATACAAGAGCAGCAGGTTGGAAGAAGTCTTCATGGAGACCACTAGAGGGCAAACAATCTAGTCCTCTGCCCAAGATAGTATCAGAGTGGCTTGAGCTGTCTGGAAGTCTGTATTCTTCTTAGTAAGGAAATTACTCATGGCCTCCATGGTAACCTGGTTCCCCATTGCCCTTAGAGGAAGCATGCCTCCTTCCTATCTAACCTGATGCCCTCCTACTGCAGTGGCCTGGAAGTATTGGACACATTGGTGAGACATATGCTTGGTGAGCACACAGCCTTGCCCTAGGGTCTGTGCCCCTCTAGTTCATGAGAAGGAACAGGGCAGGAGTTGCAGAAGGATTTCACTCAGACTCCTGCACTTATCCTGCAGCAACTGGGGGAAAGCTGGAACTAATCTCTCTGCACAAGCAGAGGACATGCCCATCTGTGGAGTTTAATTACAGAACACCTAATCATCCACTTACCCACCCAAGCACCATCCACTACCTGCCACAGCCAGGTAACCTCCACCATTAACGCTGTTCTTCCTGGCCTCTAGTTTGTACCGGGCATTGCGCTCCGGGCTGTGGGGAATGTCAGGGTGGCTGAGCACAGTAAAGGGAATGAAAGGAAAGGAGAGGCAGACCTGGGAGGGGGCCCTCAGCTCAGGGAGACGGGAGAAGACCACATGGGTACAAAGCAATGTGGTGGGGGGTCTTGGAGAGGCATCCAACTCAGCACCGGAAGATGTCACACTCCTAGATAACTGTGAGTTCTTGGGCAAGCTCTTAGAGCCTCCATTTCCTTACATATAAAATGGAAATAGTGATACTGACTTTACAGAATTGGGGAATTCACCAAGAACACCTCTGAAAAAGCACTTGCACAGAGGATGGCACATAGTAGGTGCTCCACGAAGTCTTGAAAAAAAAGAAAACAGCAAAAAGAACAGCAAGAAGGTTCTAGGCCAAAAAGAGAGAGTAAGGGTGGAGTGGCCCTGAGGGAGAGGAGGTGATAAAACACACTTCATCGCCTTAACCATTTTTGCCAAATGCAGCCCCATTGAGGCCTCAAGTTCTTTTTTTTTTTTTTTCCTTTTTGTCTTTTTTCGTGTCCGGCAATGGATCGCAACCCTCAGTGTCGCGCCCGCACCTCGCTCAGCCAGTGAGTGGGAACCGGTCTGTATGTGGGATCCGAACCCTCGGCGGGAGTGCCGCGGCACTCCCAAGAGGCGCACTGTAGCAGTGCGCCACCGGGCCCGCCCTAGGCCTCAAGTTCTCTTGCCTTCTTCCTGTAGCTTTTGGCCAAAAAAGTCATAGAGACCTGGGGAAGTATAACAGGGCATGGGGGAGAGCTCTCCTTCGGGTGCAGGCTTTTGGTAAACAGGGGGATGGATGGGCGCAAGGAAAGCTGGAGATATGGAAGGATGGAAGAATGGAAAACATCATGAGAGCCTGCTCAGCTCAGAAGAGGAGCAAGATCACCCAATTCCCCTTGTCTCTGCTGCCCAGGACTCATCTGATGATGTGAGAAAAGTTCAGAGAAGGGAGAAAAATCGCATTGCAGCCCAGAAGAGCCGACAGCGACAGACTCAGAAAGCCGACACCCTGCACTTGGTGAGTGTCAGTGGGAAGTCTTAGCTTTGGGCTTTGCCTCCACCCATCCAGGACCCCTAGACCACAGCTTCAACCCTGCCCGTGTGGGGATGTGTACGTGGGGAGGGGGGAGGGGGAGGGCCATGGCTGAGGTGGGGAGGGGAGGTGCTCCTAGAGTTCATAGATAAGTTTCTGCAGCAGGGACTGGGCCAGGAGGCTG